TATTATTATTATTATTATTATTATTATTATTATTATTATTATTATTATTATTATTATTATTATTATTATTATTATTATTATTATTATTATTATTATTATTATTATTATTATTATTATTATTATTATTATTATTATTATTATTATTATTATTATTATTATTATTATTATTATTATTATTATTATTATTATTATTATTATTATTATTATTATTATTATTATTATTATTATTATTATTATTATTATTATTATTATTATTATTATTATTATTATTATTATTATTATTATTATTATTATTATAAAAATAAGTTATTATAAAAATAAGTTTAAAAATATTATCAAAACATTTTTACTAGAAAATAGTTTTTACAGTGTTGATGAATTTTTACAATTTTAATTTTAATCTTGTGACGTGGTTATTTATAATCGTAGATATTAGATTTTATGTATATATTTATTTCTTTTCACTATTTGTCCCTAATTATTAGATCGTCCTATTTGACAATGTTTATATTTTTTATTATTTTAATATTTGACTGTTTTTATTTATATCTACTATTAGAGAGTGTTAACATATGTTTTTCATAATTTTTTATTTTTTTTTTTTTTACTGTACTCTGGTAATATTAATTTATATCATTTTAAATGTTTTTTATACGTATGTACATTTATATATCTATTTTTCATATTCTTGTGTATGACTTCAATGTACCACCTATTGTATGAAAGAGGTCAATAAACGTCTATTCTATTCTATTATTATTATTATTATTATTATTATTATTATTATTATTATTATTATTATTATTATTATTATTATTATTATTATTATTATTATTATTATTATTATTATTATTATTATTATTATTATTATTATTATTATTATTATTATTATTATTATTATTATTATTATTATTATTATTATTATTATTATTATTATTATTATTATTATTATTATTATTATTATTATTATTATTATTATTATTATTATTATTATTATTATTATTATTATTATTATTATTATTATTATTATTATTATTATTATTATTATTATTATTATTATTATTATTATTATTATTATTATTATTATTATTATTATTATTATTATTATTATTATTATTATTATTATTATTATTATTATTATTATTATTATTATTATTATTATTATTATTATTATTATTATTATTATTATTATTATTATTATTATTATTATTATTATTATTATTATTATTATTATTATTATTATTATTATTATTATTATTATTATTATTATTATTATTATTATTATTATTATTATTATTATTATTATTATTATTATTATTATTATTATTATTATTATTATTATTATTATTATTATTATTATTATTATTATTATTATTATTATTATTATTATTATTATTATTATTATTATTATTATTATTATTATTATTATTATTATTATTATTATTATTATTATTATTATTATTATTATTATTATTATTATTATTATTATTATTATTATTATTATTATTATTATTATTATTATTATTATTATTATTATTATTATTATTATTATTATTATTATTATTATTATTATTATTATTATTATTATTATTATTATTATTATTATTATTATTATTATTATTATTATTATTATTATTATTATTATTATTATTATTATTATTATTATTATTATTATTATTATTATTATTATTATTATTATTATTATTATTATTATTATTATTATTATTATTATTATTATTATTATTATTATTATTATTATTATTATTATTATTATTATTATTATTATTATTATTATTATTATTATTATTATTATTATTATTATTATTATTATTATTATTATTATTATTATTATTATTATTATTATTATTATTATTATTATTATTATTATTATTATTATTATTATTATTATTATTATTATTATTATTATTATTATTATTATTATTATTATTATTATTATTATTATTATTATTATTATTATTATTATTATTATTATTATTATTATTATTATTATTATTATTATTATTATTATTATTATTATTATTATTATTATTATTATTATTATTATTATTATTATTATTATTATTATTATTATTATTATTATTATTATTATTATTATTATTATTATTATTATTATTATTATTATTATTATTATTATTATTATTATTATTATTATTATTATTATTATTATTATTATTATTATTATTATTATTATTATTATTATTATTATTATTATTATTATTATTATTATTATTATTATTATTATTATTATTATTATTATTATTATTATTATTATTATTATTATTATTATTATTATTATTATTATTATTATTATTATTATTATTATTATTATTATTATTATTATTATTATTATTATTATTATTATTATTATTATTATTATTATTATTATTATTATTATTATTATTATTATTATTATTATTATTATTATTATTATTATTATTATTATTATTATTATTATTATTATTATTATTATTATTATTATTATTATTATTATTATTATTATTATTATTATTATTATTATTATTATTATTATTATTATTATTATTATTATTATTATTATTATTATTATTATTATTATTATTATTATTATTATTATTATTATTATTATTATTATTATTATTATTATTATTATTATTATTATTATTATTATTATTATTATTATTATTATTATTATTATTATTATTATTATTATTATTATTATTATTATTATTATTATTATTATTATTATTATTATTATTATTATTATTATTATTATTATTATTATTATTATTATTATTATTATTATTATTATTATTATTATTATTATTATATTATTATTATTATTATTATTATTATTATTATTATTATTATTATTATTATTATTATTATTATTATTATTATTATTATTATTATTATTATTATTATTATTATTATTATTATTATTATTATTATTATTATTATTATTATTATTATTATTATTATTATTATTATTATTATTATTATTATTATTATTATTATTATTATTATTATTATTATTATTATTATTATTATTATTATTATTATTATTATTATTATTATTATTATTATTATTATTATTATTATTATTATTATTATTATTATTATTATTATTATTATTATTATTATTATTATTATTATTATTATTATTATTATTATTATTATTATTATTATTATTATTATTATTATTATTATTATTATTATTATTATTATTATTATTATTATTATTATTATTATTATTATTATTATTATTATTATTATTATTATTATTATTATTATTATTATTATTATTATTATTATTATTATTATTATTATTATTATTATTATTATTATTATTATTATTATTATTATTATTATTATTATTATTATTATTATTATTATTATTATTATTATTATTATTATTATTATTATATCAATGTGTATCAATTTATATCAATTTAATTTCTCTATTATAAGTTCTTGCCGACACGAAAATATTGACCTTGTAACAAAGTATAGAGAATATGGAAGTAAGTTTCGAAAATCAAAAAGTATTCAAAATGTGTTCAGTTTTTCAAACAATTCAAAAATAGTTCAACACCATCTAAAAGTGTTCAAATTTGAATACAAAAATTCGAGGTTAGCAACACGGGTTTAGGGAGTTTTAAAAAGTTATTTTGAAAGTTGGCTCTTTATTTGTGTTGAACTGTCACTTGTGTGCCACGACTAAAAGGCTCGTTAGATAATAAAAATATGAATGGCGTAAAAGGAGAAATAATAAAAGATGTTATTTTGACAACTGACTTTTGATACTTTTGACAACTGACATTTCTAGTGTGATAATTAGTTTTAGTTGAGCTACATTCACTACTTTTCGATAAGCGAGATGTAAAGTACAGTTTATTATATTTATGAAATTGACATTTGATACTTCTATTTTGACGATTGACATTAAATTTAATATTTCTTCTTCTTCTTCAATTTTTATAGGCCTCAGCTGCCAGGGCTATTCGGCCTAGGGTAATTGTATTGGAGTTTTCTGTATTATAGGTGAATATTTTAAAGGAAATTAATTTTTTTCGTCACAGGATGCACATCACACCATGTGACAATTTGTAATTTTCAGATTCAAAAAATTTTGACGCACTATTCTTGCTACTTGATAACTGATCACAATATTCACTACACGGTGACTGTTCTTGTTAGGGATTTTGACGGAAACATTCACACCTGACTACCGATTCTGACGCCGCCATTTCAGTGTTGATACCATAATATTTCTAATTTTACAACTGACATTTTTAGTTTGTTGCATTATTTTGACAACTAAAGTTTGATAACTACCTTTATTTTAACAAATCACACTATATGCGTATTGAACTGCCACTTGTATGTCACTAGTCATAATAATCAAATGCTAAAAGGGTCATTAGGTGTTAAAAATATGAATGAAGCGAAAGAAACATGAATAAATGATATTTTGATAGTTGACATTTGATACTTTTTTGACAATTCTTTTGATACATTTTGTCAATTGACATTCCATACTTTTTGACAACTGACATTTCTAATTTGTGGTGTTAGTTTGACGTTTAATACCTACCTCTATTTTGATAATTAACATTTTATGCATATTGAACTGTCATTTGTGAGTCACTTATCGAAATATTCGAACGCTAAAAGGGTCGTTAGGCATTAAAAATTTGAATGAAGTGACAGGAACTTGAATAAACGATGTAATTTTGGCAATTGACATTTGATATTTTTGACAATTATTGACATTTGATATTAAATGTAATATTTCTATTTTGACAACTGGCATTTCTAGATTCCTACGTTATTTTGACAATTGACGTTTGGTACCTAATTCTATTTTGACATTTGGCTGTTCTAGTATAATAATTGTCATATTTTGACAACTGACATTCTATTTTATAATTTTTTACAATTATTAATTCTATAAATAGCAATATCTAAAATCGGATGCATGTGTTTTGATAAATACTCACCAAATTCGACGTAAAAGTTGTACTTGGAAGGCCTCGGCGATCTGTTTGATCTATTATAAGAAACTTTCGTACTTTCCGCATTCGAATACTCTGAGGTATCATCGCTATCGCTGTTGTGTCTCGATCTGGTTTTTCTGCACTTTTTACTCGACAGCGGCATCGTATCTTCGGAATTTCTAAGCGATTTTCTTCGTTTCTTACAAGACGCGGGTTTCTTCATTTCGCCCATCATTTGTGTATCTAAAATTTATACATAAAAAAAGATGTTTTAAAATCGTTCAGATGGATGTATTTACCTTCTTCGCTATATGGAGATACTTTTAGTGTCGAAGATCTTTGCCTGGGGTATTCGGATTCAATGTCATTCGACTTGCCGCTTTCATTGTCGCCCATAGTCGGAGACAGGCCGCCAATGTCGCTAAAATAAAATGTTGCATTGTCAAACCATTAAACAAAACGTATATCTCAATTGTTATGTACACATTGGATTTGTGGAATTTGTTAATAAATCTAAGCTACTAAAGACTCGGGTGGCTTCTTAATTAACATCGTCGCGAAGCGGGAAGATGAAATAACATATGGTACATATATGTACCAACACTTTTTGTTTATTCACTATACATTACTGCATTTTTTATAAAGATAACAGAGTTACTCAAAAATCAAAATATATTGTCTTGTACAAATATGTACCACATCTTAAGAGTTAGTCTGAACTTTAATCGAAATTGATATTATGGTCAAGACAAATACAGATGGAATATGATATAGTATTATGGTACATATATGTACCAGCACCTTAAAGGTTAAAATAACGATACAGCACTTACCCTCTAGGTGATAAATTACTAATACTGCTCTCGGGAGTCGTAGGAGGCGTGTTATCCAAGACAGTAGAATTTTGCACTCTATGCTCGCGTTCCCGCTCGCCGTGCTGCCCGTGCAACTCGACAGATGGCGCCGGCGACATCTTCTTCTGCTCCAAAAACATGCTCTTGTTGTTGCTGGTACTGGGAGCGCTGGCGAAGGGCATCTCCAAAACGGACGACTTCATCTTGTTTTCTTGCACCGCCGGCGGTTCGCTGGGCGGCGCGGGGCTTCTGGGGATCTCCTCGTCGCAGATAAGAAGCGAATGAAGATGGGGATCGGGATCCTCTTCTTTGGGCGCTTCGGATTCTTCGGTTTTGACCTCTTCTTCGATGGGCGAGGGGGAGGGCACTGGAACTTCATCCTGGAAGAATTCAATGTTTTGTAGATTCGTGCTAATCAATATGGCGTGCAGGTTTTTATGTAGCAAATTAGATCGCTCGTTTGCGAGAATACTGGCACAACTCAAAAAGTTAAATTCGAGATAATCAAGATTAATGGAGTGATTTAACAGTCTGAAACTTGAAAAGTGTAAATGGTAGTAGTATCGACAAGCCAACCATTCTATTAGAAAAATAGATCACTTATTTGCGAGAATACTGGCACAACTAAAAAAACTTCAATTAAAAATAATTAAGTTTGATTGATTTAACAGGCTAAAAGTTGAAAAGTGTAAATAGTAGTAGCGTCGTCAAGCAAATACCACTATAAATATGGGAAGTGTCATTGTTTCTGTAGAAAGAATTAGGTTGGTGCAATAATCTCAGAATTGATGATTTTTGAATTTTTCCGGTATTCTCGCAAATTAGCGAATGATTTACCTTTTTAGTTTCAAAGTTGAAATTGAGTTCTTCCTGCGACTGTGACTCGTCGGTGGTTTGAAGTTGATTAAATATGTTGCTGCTGTCACTCTCCTTGGTATCCGGTTTGATGTCCAAAGAAGTCGTCTGAGAATCGTCGTCTGATCTCGCTATGACCAATTGCTCAGAATCGCTGGAGTCAGTCTCGCTATCTTCGATGTAAGCCCTGCTGAGTACCTTTTTTCTCTTCTTCAGTTCCGTTAGATCAGATTTCGGACTGGACGATGGTTTTTTGATCGGTTCCTCGATAGGAGGGGATGGAATTTCTTCTTCCTCCTCCTCCTCTTCCTCTGCCTCGTCCTCTTCTTCTTCTTCCTCATCTTCGTCGTCGTCGTCCTCTTCTGACTTTTGGTCGGGTTTAGGTTCTGGCAAAGACGGTTTTTCGTCTTGGGTGGGTTTCGCTTCTTCCGGGGTTACTTTTGGTTCTTCTTTTGGAGGTACCTAGAGGAAATATACATTTTTTTCTCTCTAAGTTTTGTAGGTTTTGTTTTTTATAAACATAAAGGGTGTTAAAACTGGACAATAAGGTGTATTATTTGTATCGACTTGCCAGGAAAACATTTGATATTTCAACTTCTCATTTTTGTAAATTTTTAAAACATGCTTGACCAAAAGGTCTGAGCATATGAGTCCACAACGAGACCCCTAAATGTACGTAAAAAAAAATTAAAGAAATTCAAAATTCTAGTCAAAATTAATATAATTATCTACCTAGGTAAAGTACATGATAATTTTCAGTCATATGTATCAAGTTATATTGAACCAATTTATAATACAAAGTATGTGTATGTTTGCTGATAACAAAGTGTCAATCTTTTTTTAAAGCTAGTGTTTACCTTGTCTGACAACTGATCGCATTGCTGCATGGACACCGAATAATTTTCATAATAAAATAAATTAAACAATTTTATTTTTCTTTATAGAAATCACATTTTATAAATTTCCTCTGAAGGACCTCATTTTCGTAAAATAGTCTACTTTTAATGTAGTTAGAAGTAAAATGTCAAAGGCAATTTTAAAGATTGCTTGTAAATAGTAAACATAAGATTAGATAAAAAAAGTGTTTATCTATTTCAATACAAAAAAAAATGTAGTACACTTTTTGAGAGTTTAAATTCAGGGACAACAAAATAAAATATGATAAAATAATAGTAGGTAATTGTTGAATTTTTAATGCTTAAATGTTTTTATTTAAATACATATATAAAACAAAATATGTAAAATCTAAATAAAGAACATGAAAGAGGAGTTTTTGTAGCCCTCGATTCTCGTTCGGTAGATATTATTGAGTATAAATCAGTAATTTTAAAATTATTGTATATAATGTAAATTCTAATTATAATGTATGCGCCTATTAGTCAGAGTGCAAAAGGACATTTTTTTTGTAAAATGATTGTAAACAGAATAACTCGTAAATTTTAAAAATAAAATCAATTTTACTGATACATCAAGTTGTTTTCGTGTTATTCGCAAAAATGCAAATTCTAGTCAAGGCACAAAAGGACAATTTCTTTTGTAAAATTATTTTGAAATTGAATAATTCCTAAGTGTCTAAAAAATTAAGATTATTCAGATCTACCAATTTTGTTATATAATTGGTGAAATATAAAGGGTGATTCAAAAATTATTAACAGAGCAATATGAAAATAAATTTTAACGTTTTAGATAGCAACACACTCCGAAATTACTCTTGCTTTTACAAATTTTCAGGAAAATCAGACAAAAACTATTTTTTTTCAAAATGTCTGAAATATTTTGGGTTTTCGATTCAGTTCAAAATATTCTTAAAGATAGAAAATAGTTTTTAAAAGTGAAATCCGTTTTATGATATCTCAAACCGATTTCAAGTTATCTGCCGAAATATAAATTATGTTAGTCATGACGCAAAAGGACATTTTTTTTGTAAATTTATTTTAAACTTGAATAACTCTTAAACGAATAAAGACATAAAAGAGCGATCACATTCAAACAAATCGATCTGTTTTGTTTTACACTTGGTAAAATATACAAGGCGATTAAAAAATTATTAACTGAGGAAAACAAAAACAAATTTTAACGTTTTAGATAGAAAACCTCTTGCTTTCTTGTGAGTTACCCAAATTTTTATGATAATTGGCCAAAACATTTTTTTAAAGTTTTCTGGAAGGTTTTGGCCTTTTCATTCAGTTTAAAATAGCGATGCAGATAGAAAATAATACGTAGAATTTACAAATGAAATCCGTTCGTTGATATCTCAAGCAATTTTCGAGTTAATAGCTAAAATCTAAATTAGGTTAGTCAAGGCGCAAAAGGACAATTTTATTTGTAATATTATTTTTAACTTCAATAAATCTTAAACGACTAAAGACAGAAAAGCTGTCAGAATCGTTCGATTTGACTGCTAGATTTCATCAGTTTTGTTTTTATACTTGGTAAAATATACAAAAATTATTAACTGGAGAAAACAAAAACAAATTTTACGGTTTTAGATAGAAAGCAACAGACTCCAAAATACTCTTGCTTTCTTTTACAAGTACCCAAACTATTTTTTTAAGCTATATGAAAGGTTTTGGGTTTTCGATTTAATTCAAAATATCTATATAGGTAGAAAAAAATTCGTAGAATTTAATAATGAAATCCGTTCTTTGATATCTTAAGCCGTTTTAGATTTATCTGCTAAAATATAAATTGTGTTAGTCAGGGCGCAAAAAAAATTTTATTTGTAAAATTATTTTAATCTTGAATAACTCTTAAACGACTAAAGACATAGAGGAACAGTCAGAAGTTTTCAAATCTATAATTTTTGGTGTATTCTTGGTAAAATATACAGGGCGATTAAAAAATTATTAATTAAGGAAAAAAAATAAATTTAAATAGTTTTAGATAGAAAGGAAGACACTATTCCGAAATTACTCTTGCATTCATTTATAATAATCCTAATTTTCATAAAAATCAAAGTAATAAATTTTTTTCAAGATGTCCAGAAGGATTTTGGACTTTCGATTCATTCAAAGTATCAATACAAATAGAGAATAAATTGTAGAATTCAAAAAATGAAATCCATTCTTTGATACCCCAAGCCATTTTCGAGTTATTTGCAAAAAATACAAATTATGTTAGTCAGGGCGCAAAAACTTTTTTTTTTGTAAAATTATTTTGAAATTGAAAAACTCTTAAATGGTTAAATATAAAGATGAGCGGTCAGAAAGATTCAAATGTATCAGTGTTGATCTATACAATTGGTAAAATACACAGGGCGATTCAAAAATTATTAACTGAGGAAAGTAAAAAAAAAGATTTAACGTTTTAGGTAGAAAGCAACAGCCTACTCCAAAATTTTTCTTGATTTTTTTATATGTACAACATTTTCATAAAAATAGAACGAACATTTTTTAAAGATTTTTTTTTTATTTTAAGGTATCCGTAAAGACTTTGGCTTTCCAAGTACGTTTAAAATATGCATTTTTTGATATCTCTAGCAGTTTTCGAGTTGTGGGCTAAAATATAAAGTATGTTAGTCAGGGCGAAAAATGATAATTTTATTTGTAAAATTATTAAAAACTTGAATAACACTGTTATAGAGCATTTTTAAAAACTATTTACTGATTAAAAAGAAAATTTTAATAATTTAGATAGAAAGCAACATACTGTACTCAGACACAAACAATTTTTTCCATGAAAACAAAAAACAAGTGTTCGGAAGAAGTTTGGGCTTTTGATTCAGTTCAAAATATGTATATAGATAGAAAAAATGTTGTAAATCTCAAATTTAAAATCCGTTCTTTGATATCTCAAGCGCTTTTTCGAGTTATTAGCAAAAATGCAAATTCTGTTAGCAAAAGGACAATTTTGGTAAAATTATTTGGAAATTGAATAACTATTAAATGACTAAACATAAAGATGAGTGGTCAGAAACATTTATATTTATTAGTTTTGGTATTAAAAAATTATTAAATGAGGAAAATGAAACAAATTTTAACGTCTTTAGATAGAAAGCAACAGTCTACTACGAAATACATCTAGCTTTCTTTAATGTGTACAAAATTTTCATAAAAATAGACAAGTTTTTTTCAAGGTGTACGAAAGGACTTTTGGGCTTTTGATTTAATATGCATAGAGATAAAAAATAATTAGTAGTTTTCAAAAATGAAAACAGTTTTTGATATCTCAAGTTCTTTTCAAGTTATCTGCTAAAATAAAAAAATATATTAGTTATAGTGCAAAAGTACAATTTTATTTTTAAAATTATTTTAAACTTAAATAATTTTTAAATGACTAAAGACATAGAGGAGCAGTCAAAAGCGTTCAAATCTATCAGTGTACTTGGTAAAATATACAGGACGATTCAAAAATGATTACCTTTTAGCAAACAAAAACAAATTTTATCATTTAAAATAAAAAGAAATAGAAACGGAAATTCCTCTTGCTTTCTTTCACAAGTACCTAAAGTTTCATGAAAATATGACAAAAAAATGTATTTTTTTTTTAAGTTGTCTGGAAGGTTTTGGGCATTTGATTCAGTTTAAAATATCCAAAAACGAAATCCGTATTTTTTGATATCTCAAGCCGTTTTCGAGTTATTTGCTTAAATATAAATTGTTAGTAAGGGCGCAAAAGAATAATTTTAAATGTTAAATTATTTTAAACTTGAATAACTCTTAAAAGACTAAAGGCAAAGATGAACGGTAGGAAGAGTTTAAATCTATCAGTTTTATTTTATACTTGGTAAAATATATAAAGCGATTAAAAAATTATTAACTGGAGAAACGGAAACAAATTGTTAAGTTATAGATAGAAAGCAGCAGATTCCGAAATTACTCTTACTTTCTTTCATAAATACCTAAATTTTCATGAAAATAGAAAAAGAAATGTATTTTTTAAGATCTCTGTAAAATATGTATACAAATAGGTAATAACTTATATATTTCAAAAATGAAATCCGTTCTGTGATATCAATGTGGTATCAATTTCGAGTTATTGGCAATATAAATTGTTAGTCAGGGCGCAAAAGGACACTTTTTTGTTTAGTTATTTGAAACTTGAATATAACAATTGGTTACTGTTACTATATTTTTTTAAATGGAGAAATTGTTCGAATGCATCTCTAAAATAATATGTGAGCACACTTAGTACATTCTTAAAAAAGAAATAAACTGTGGAAAACAAAAACAAATTTTGATGTACTCTGAAAATTCTTCTGCTTTCTTTTATTAGTATGCAACGTTTCAAAAAAAAAAAAAAAATGTTTTTTCAGTGTTCAAAAGGATTTTGGTCTTTTGATTCAATTCAAAAATATGCATATAGATAGAGAAAAAGTTATCAATTTTAAAAATGAAATCCATTGTTTGATATTTCAAGTCTTTTTCGAGTTATTAGCGAAAATGTAAATTCTGTTAGTCAGGGCGCTCAAGGAAAACTTCATTTTATGATTTTTTTTATAAGTACCTAAATTTTGATAAAAATCGGATAATTTTTTTTAATGTGTAATTCAGTTCAAAATATAATTAAAAACCTTTATCGTCCAAACAGGAGTACACCCAATTACAATATTATTGTTAAGTCTTCACTTATTTAGTATATGTAAGTTTAAATTGAATATTATCATCCAGTATGAAACGTAATATTTCACTTATATTTATTATTCTCATTACTTATACTTCGCCAAGACGATATTGCCCTAATTGGCCAAAGACCACATCCGTGTGGCGAAGAACGATTCTTGGATTCAAACGGTCGAACATCAGTATCGCCGCAAAACTCGTAGAGTACAGTCGAGTATTCGAGCATTGTGATAATTCGGTACAAACTCGCGAGTTACATTTCCGAACATTCAAATACCAGCCTCTAATACAGTCCACGACCCCTGCAGCTTAGGGTGGACGCGCTTAGAAAGAGAAGTCTGCGTCAGGAAGCCAAGGAAATTAAAGGTAGGACCTGATTGGCGAAGCTCTAAAGTTTAGCTTAACCATAATCTATTCAATTATTAGGGCTTAAATAGATAATAAGAGTAGGATAGATCTAAATTTACAAAAATAGGTAAATAATAGATCTAAATTTACAAACATAGATAAATAATAATAATAGAAAAAAGAAATAAAAAACCCAGCTATTCTTAAACTGATATATAGGAATGGGAAAAACCTTTAGTATTTTCATTAAAATCGATGCACATTCTATTTAAGGAAGAGTTTATCATAATTGTTCTAAGAGTAGAGTTGTAAAATATATGAGTACAATAATCCATAGATTTGAAGCATATTTTATAAAAAAATCCAATCCATGAATGTATCAAATTAAAAAAGAAAAACACTTACAATTTCGACCTTAGCTTCATCCTTGACCACCTCCTCTTTCTCCACACTTTCCCTTTTCGGCGATATTTTAGCAGCTATTTCATTCTTGATGGAATTAAATTTCTGCAAAATGGAATCGGCGATTTTAGTACCGGTCTTAACGTTGCTCAACTCCTTAGCCGTCTCCTCCAACTTAACATCCAAAGATACGGGCAGTTCCGAAACTATAGACTCCAATAATGCGCTGTCAGTTTCTTGCAAAGCTGGCGATATGTGTTGTTTGTCGTTAGACGTTGAAGGTTTATCGTCGCTCGGCGATACATCGGGCGCTTTTTCCTAGAAATGGGATTTGACACTGAGCGAAATAAAAGGATATAATTATCACCTCAATATATTATAAATCATTAAAATTACTGCTAGGAACTGCATTTTTTCTGAAAGCTTCAAGTAACGCCAAACTTAAAAAACAATTCTCTACATAATGCCTTTTTTTCCCGTTTAAATGGGACCAGTAATAACCGAGAAACACGCTTGGGTCCTTTTGGCATTGCTACTGCGCAGGATTTTTCTATTCAACGTTCATCTATACCTCGTTATCTACATGATGCTGTTTTTTCCGTTTAAATCGGACCAGTAATAACCGAGAAACACGCTTAGGTCCTTTTGGCATTGCTACTGCGCATGATTTTTCTCTTCAACGTTCATCTAAGTCACGCTCTCTACATAATGCCGTTTTTACCGTTTGAATCGGACCAGTAATAACCGAAAAATACGCTTAGATTCTTTTGGCATTGCACCTGCGCAGGATTTTTCCCTTCAACGTTCATCTATACCACGTTCTCTACATAATGCCGTTTGAATCGGACCAATAGTGGCCGAGAAACACGCTTAGGCCCTTCTGGCAATCGCATGATTTTTTTGTTCGACTTTAAAAGAAATTTAATTCCCCCCACTCCCTCTTACCCATTAAATATGTACCTCTCACTCTTACACATTAAATTCCCTATGTGAGCCCGTGGTAACTTAGTATATCTACTTACCTCCTCTTTAGTTTCCTCCACTTTGGAAACCTCAGGCACCTCCATCTTGAACGCGGGTTCGCAAACGTTTATACCTAAGATACCTGTCATTGTCGACAACGGATCGTCTCTCTTCAAGGGATAACCCAAATTCGGCGCTACGATAGCCAGAGCATCGCCACTATCATCGTCGGTGCTCGAACTTTGAGCTATCACCCTCTGAATTTGCTCTCTGATCGAATCCTCATCGTCGCTATCCTTGTTCTTCCCTTCGTCCGTCTTCCCCAAAGAAGAAAACTCCATGTCCAAAGTGTTTTGATCGGGCGACGGTTTGGAGAAGTTGCTGTCTCCGAAGATGTTCGCGCTAGCCATTTTTTCCGGTGACGTAGTGAATATTTGAGATGGAGATTCGCAATCGGATAGCTCCATGTCGCCGCTGTAATCATCAGAAGCGTCCGGTGGTAGATCTCTGAATAGACTCAACGAATCTTCGCATATGTTCCTGACGACCTTCTCTTTATTTTCTACGACTTTATCCACGGTTTTCACCAAATTAAAGCTCGGGGACTCGACTAGCTTATCGAACGGATCTTCTTCTTCTTTGGGCGGCGACATCGCGATCATGGTTTCTTCTTCGTCTTCGTCGTCTTCATCAGAATCTTCGATTTCCTCCTGTTTTCTTAACGGCACGCTGAGCGATCTCAGTTTCGGCGTTTTGTCTACGTCTTCGAACATTCTGGTCACCAAGCGTTTCTTCTCGTCGCCCAATTTCGGTCTGTTTTCGAACTCGAACGGTTCGGGTTCTTTGAATTCGTAAACGTCCTCGGAGCTAGAGGATTTTTCCAAAGGTTTCTCCTTCTTTTCGATAGGTTCATCCGTAATTTCTGGCGACTTTTCTAGCGGTGGTGGACTGGAACACTCATCGGATGAGGATTCCGCTTCTTTATCGTCGACAGAATCTAACGGTGGAAGTTTTATGGCTTTGGAGAAACCTTTGAGCTCGGATCTGATTTGGTTGAGATCGAAATCTCTACCTTTCGGCGGATTACCGTCGTCTTCGCTCTCTTCCGCCGATTTGTCCGACGATTTTTTGCTTCTTCTCGATCGCGTTCTTTCGTATATATCCTCTGGTGGGCCGCCGTCTTCGCGGTCCTTGCGTTTATCCATTTTGGGCTGAAATAGTGATTGTTATAGGTTAAAATTGATTTTTAGATAGCAACTGAACTCACCAAAACGGGCGCTCGGGGCGGTCGCCTGCGGTACGTTTTAATTTCGGGTTCATTTTCGGATTTAGAGCGACTTCTGGTTCTGGACACTTCAGAATCGCTTCCGGTGCCTTCGCTATCCGATTCTGTGTGAGTTGAAATGTCTGTTTGGGCTGATATCCTTCTAGTACGTCTGGTTGAATCTTAACACATACAAAAATATAATGAAAAAAAGAATTACAATGATAATTCAAAAATAGTTATACTTTGAAATTAAAAAAAATTGGGTACAGCTTATTTTTAAATGGATGGTTGGGAGCCACATCTCTAGTTGCGGAATAATGGAGGAAAAGGTCGTATAAGCGGAGACTATTGAAATATTGTAACGTTTATTAATGAAAAAGATGAATCCAAATGCAGAAACAAGGGACCCCAGAAAATCTATATGGAATGGACTAATGTTCAATAAAAGAGACCGTTCCTATGCAGAAACAAGGGAGCAGAGACTAAGGTTCAATGAAAGAGACCATTCCCAGATACATCCAGTGAAAAGAAGTTGTATACATGGTTCACATGAAAAGTTGACGTGCAAAATAAGTCTTCAGGGAAGAGGATCTATCCAGAATAACTAAGGTTCAATGCAAGAGCCATTAGCAGATACATCCGCTGAGGAAAAGATGAATACAGGGTACACAAGGAAGTGATGGGTCAAACCAAGCAACCAAAAGGATCTAGCTTGAATGTCTAAGGTTCTATGAAAGAGAAATTCCCAGAGACATCAGGTTAGAGGGAACAGGACCAGAGAGTAATTTGTGCCAAGATGACTAAGACAACAAAGATAATGAGTCAGTATCAGCCAGCTAATAGTAGCCAGACAGCCAGTACTAATCAGTCAGCAACAGTCAAGTACAGCAGCCATGTACAGTGAAGTAGCCTTCTCACAGTAGCAAGTCAGAGAAGCAGTCGAAGGCAGGGAGTCAACCAGAGGATCCAAATCCGCAGAAACAGTCTATTAGAAAATGGATAAACTACCGCAGCGGAAAGAACCCGTAACCCCAGCCAAAAGGGTTACATGGTACAGCAGCCGAAGGACCAAACCAGATAGTAAAGGATCAGGTGATAATGAGAGGTGACAGCTAAAGAGCAAAGGGTAATTATGGCCAACCAACAAAGAAGATGCAAATTATGCAGTGAAGTGTAATCTTTCCATATTATTGTTGTAAATAATGTTGATAATTTTTTGAATTATTTACATTAAGGGTTTTAAAAAGAATTAACAAGTAGTTCAATTTTTTTTCTGTCGGGGATTAATGTAATAATTAGCATTATTATTAGTAAAATAAATAAAGAATTACTCAAAAAATCTAAAAAGTATTTTTTAATGTTTCAACTAACAGTTTGTTATTTATTTTCACTGCAAGACTAATTTATTTTATAACTTAATTTATTATTTGTACTAAATACACCACTAATTTATATCTTTTTTACTTACAGAATCCACCGTTTTATAGACTGGTGCATCCACCAAAATCGTTATCTCTAGGTGTTTCGTCACTAGAGTAATGACCGACCATAGGCGTATCATAGGGATTTCGGATGTTGACTTATTTTATCGAATATTCTTGGTAACAAGAAAATTGAAGGCCGTAAAAGGTCCAAATAAGGCAGAGATGGACTTAAAGGATTAGAGCAGGACCAGACTGGTCGAAATGGCTCGCATGACAGTATCTATAGAGCAACTACAGAGAATCAGACTTAATGGAAATTGATGATGATGATAATATTAATAATAGCCTTTATTTTCCAACATATATAAATATGTTGAAAAATAAAGGTTATAAAACCTAGATCATTTAAAGAAATCGTTTCTATTTGTTGCACAAATGGAGAAACACCTAAATTAATAACTTTTAATAATAATTAAACACGCGAATAGTTATCACAAGCACATAATTTGTTATATTTTAGTTTATATATAAAGAGGTCTCAGAAATTACACAGGCTATTAAAAAAAAATTACACATAACAATTAGGGGTAAATGTCTTCTGTTTCTAGAGCTTTATCGTAGCAGACTGAACGACTATATCGATCAGACGCATGGACGATAACGGAAAATAGAGAGCAGGTCAAAAATGGCTTGCACGACTTTATGAATCCTACTTTTTTTATTTCAATTTTCAGACCTTTTTTCATTGCCAATGTTCTACTTGTTCATTATCAACTTTTTTAGAAATTTTCAATGAACTTCCCCTGCAATGTTAAGTTATATTAATTTTGTTAATTTTGCGTTTATATTAATTTTGCGTTAGTAAAAAAATGCTGTCCGAAAAACATGCAGTAAAATTAGCATAACTCCGAAAATAATAAAGATATAAAAATTAAAAAAATATTAGCGCGTAGGTAATTTAATTATCTGTAACTTTTATTCTCATCGATTTTTTGATAAAATGAACATTTACCAATATAAAAAATAAATAAAAATCCACCACTTAAATTGCGATCTTGTACACTAAGGGCATAGTCCCCAACCAGCCAAATAACAATCAAGCTTTCGGTAACAGTAAATTTTACTGTTACATCAATTTTAGGAAATTTTGTTATTTTATAACCTAATTTGTATTATACTCTGTTTTTAAACTAAGAGGAGCGATTTGAATTTTCCGCGCCTAAACTTTTGTTTCTGATTGGTTAATTGATAGGCACGTTCACACAGACCAAAATGTCTAATAATGACATTTCTCTGTCAATGATTTGGCACATCGCGGTAGATAATTTTAAAAATTTAAAATATCACTGTGCTTTTCTGTTTTATTCTTTCTATTTACCAATTATTATTAATTCAAAATCAAATAAATCAGTCCTTTTCAGGACTAATTAGTCAATTGTGTTTCGTGTTCGTGCGTTTTGTTATTTCCGTTAATAAAATAAATCAAATCTTTTCAGGACATTAACAGGCAATTGTGAATTTCTTTTCGAATTTTTTGTTTGTTTTTTCATTAAAATGGATATTGCTATGCCAAGCACCAGTACTGCTAATTTTTCGCCACCAAAAAGACGTAAACAATTAAATTTAGGTCATTTATCTTTGGCAGAAAAACAAACTATCATAAACTTGTACAAAAAAATCTCAAGAGATGAACCTAATTTGAAAACTGTTAGTGTTGTATCTAAAATTGCTATATCTGTTGGTAAGTCTTCAATTATAAAACGCCTTTAGCAAATATTTAAGTTCCTATTTGTCTTAGGAAGGCGTACATTAACTAAAAACTATTCTTTATCTCAGTTAACAAAATAAATAAGGGGTACATATCAAAATAAAAAAGGAAGCAAAATATAGTAGTAACAGACCAAAAATTAAATGTTAAATTGAAAGCACACATAAAGTGAAACAACATAGGTTATAGTTAATATAAAGGAGAGGTTTATTAGGATGTTTTTTAGTTTCTTTTTTAAAATAACTATTCAAGGAAGGTTTGTAATGATTAAAAAAAATAGCTCCTGCATTATAAATGAAGCTTCTTTCTCTAGAATGACATGGCGTAGATAAAGAGATTATAAGTACTTAATTTCAAATTAATTTTTCATTCTAAATTGATAAAAAATGGAAAAAAATATTTTTTAACGAATTCTAAGGTTGTAACTGTTTGAAATTAAAAATGTGGCCAGATATAATACGATCAAATTTTTTTAACTTACCAACAAAACGACAATACATATATATGTTGCAGTTTGTACCTAATAGTACCTACCTATTATTTTCAAATAAAAAATCATTGGCATTATGGTTATCTTTTATTTGTCTTAAGACATAACAGTTTAAAACGGGTCTATTTAAGATACCACTTAAACTGAATCTTTAGTGGTACCACAAACCATAAAAAAATAAATCTGCTAAGAAACTTACAAATCTACTCTTCTCCTATTTTGTTTTCAAATAAAACCAAAAATATAACAGTTATCTTTTATTTGTTTTTAGACTATAAGTAACAATTTATAAAAAAAGGTTCTATTTAAGATCACTTTAATTGAAGCTTTAGTGGTAGCATAAATTAGTAAACTAAAAAAATAACTGCAAAAAAACTTAGAAATCTACTCCAATCAATTGACCTAAATTGAACCCGTACATTTAGGAAACATTTTCTGAGTTTTTCTCGTTCTGAAATTTAAAATAAAATTATTAGTGTACAGCATTAACAAATGCAACTTTTGGAAATGGTATTTTCATATTATTTTTGAATCTAGGAGATTGATTAAACCAAAATTTTAAATATAAATTGGATCTTAATTGCATTAGAACACAAAAGTACTTTTTGTTGGGTTTATTTGAAATTTGTGGTCTTTTGAGTATTGGGATATGAATCACAATGAATGGAATCCGATGCCTGCTGAATAGTGAAATAGTATAATCAATAAGGAACTCCGATTTTTTTTTTAAATTATAACCAATGTACATGCTATTCCTCAAATATAATTTGAAAAAGTGCAACATTGTCCAAACCGTAATACTTTATCAAGTCATGGTCAATGACATCAGCAACATTGAAGTAGTCTAAATTAGAAGTAAACCCAAGCTTTTTGTCCAATGTACGAAATGTAACCTATGTTTAATAGTGCAATTATTACTGTACTGTGGCCTCTCTTACAGAAAGATTGTTGAATAATAATGAATCAATTTATTACAAACTATTGTTATTTTTGTAGGTGTCGCAAAATCAACTATATTTCGTACACTGAAAGAATATAAAAGTACCGGAACAGTTATTAGTTCTAAGCATTCTGGTGGACGTCCTGCGATTATTGGTACTTTTGACGAAACCACAAAAAATACTGTGCGGCAAATAGTACACAGTTTTTTCTTTAGTAATGAAATTCCGACTTTGGATAAGATTTTAAATAAATTAAAAAGTCTGCCTGACTTGCCCCAGATGTCACGGTCTTCACTACACAAATTTATGAAGCAAATTAATTTCAAGTAATTTTAAACACGTTTCTTGGTGGCAAAATTGGTATAATTAAAGTTTAAAAAAATAGATGTCTTTTTTTGCAGATACCTGAAACGAAATCGAAAAAGCATTTTAATTGAGCGTGACGACATTGTTAGATGGAGATTAAAATATTTAAGAACCATTAAAAAGTTTAGAACTGAAGGTAGACCTATTTATTATGTTGATGAAACATGGATAAATGAAGGTCATACCAAAG